ACTGTGTAACATGGGCGCCTATTGGCCACTGCGGACTATGTCATTTTGCGCAAGTAGGCCAGATCAGTGCGTTGTGTGAGAGACTGCCGCTTGTTGGTAGGGGCGAAATGCTATCGCAACCTGGTGTCGGTGTAGGCCACGGAAGTGTAAGGGCTTGTGTCAGCGTCTTCTGACAACACAACACTGGATTTGCTAGCCGTGTGGCTACTACTTCAGCCTTTGCGAGCATCCTTAGGCAGAGGCTTTTGTTTTATAGCTCCCCAGAACATTATCACTGACTTGAGGTCTATCATGCAGTGCCGCTTCTAAGGGCTTAGACTGATGTTAGGTTACAGAGACTTAAACTTAAAGCGGAAATATACCGAAACAAAACGCTTTATGTAATTTTTGCTAGACATCTTCTGCCCCCAGTCACACCCACTATACTCTCTTTAAAACTAGGAGTATACTCGCACCCTCAGTCTTGAAAGCCTTCCTCAGATCTAGTACATTGATGCGTGGCTGGCTGAGGGATACCACTTTGAACATATGTCACCACCACAAAACCACCTAAATAACTTGGCAATTGGTGGTAGGCGGAGAGGGCAGCTCAAGTGGGTAATATAAAAGGCCTGTGAAATCACACTTCCAACGTCGTCTGCAGTTGCCTACGCCCTTTTTACAACACACCCGGTGAGCAAATCAATGTAAGCAAATCAACGTTTGAATATTTGTGCTCGAGGATTTCAAAAATAGTATGCCCTACTTTGTCCTTATATCAGCTATGCTAAGCCTTGAGAATGGGTCTTTATTTAAAATTATGTAAATTGAATTTAAAAAGGAACCAGCCAACAAGTTCTCTGACATACTATTATCTTTTTCTTAAATCATTGAATTTTTAACCTGGGTTGTATTTTATACCAAACATATCTTCACGAGATAATTGGGATGACGAAATTTATCTATTTTCTTCAGCCAAGAACAACATGGGTTGCGAGATTGCAACTTTGCTCAAGTGTGTCATTACTACAATCAATGTGATTTTGGGGGTACGAGTCATTTCTAACCCTCCATATATACATATATATCGAATAAGTTGTATGTGGATCTTTTGTCCCGCTTATGTTTCATTCAATATGTCTGTGAAACAAACAAGCAGTCTAACATCCATTGTATTTTTCACAAACAGATCGCATTCCTAGTTGTAGCCGTACTGGGCCTTCTTCTAAAGACGTCTGCAGGCTTTGTCAAATCTCTCCTAAGAACAAGCTTCAGTTTTGGGGGCGACCTTACAGATAAGCAAGCCAAGTATCTGACTGAGTTCGTCCTTGAGCACGCAAGTACGTTTTCTGTCACTAAATGAAGGCTATGAGTGTGCAAAACAAGGAAGTGGTGACGCTTTATGTTATTACAACTCATGTGCATTAAAAAAGACACATTTCCATTTGAATTTTAGCCAGCCTCTCTATTATTTTCATTGTCGTTGGTCTGGTCCTGGCAGCTCTCTGTTTCTTCGGCGCCTTTGCCGCCTGCTGTGTTTGCGGACTTCTTCTTAAGATTGTAAGTTACTTAGGTTAATGATTTATGGTTTTTGATGGAATATTTTACTTTCAGTAGGCTCGAATTGTGTTGCAATAACCAGGAATAAGTCCTATTGGTAAACAGATGTTTACGATAATTTTTATCAACAGGCCTTTATATTTAAATAAGGCCTGTTAATCCTGATGATAAATAAACGAAAACAGTTGTTTGCCAGTACGGTTTCTTAATCCTAAGTCAAAAAATTGGATTTCTTGCAGAATTCAGGAATAAAGAAGAAATGGTATATAAGCTAAATAACAATTCACAAATACTATCAATGAAATAATATGGGAGTATAAATTATTACAAAAGCTGTTGAGCTTAAAAACGTTGCCTTTTATTTTCAGTTTACTTGTCTTGTAAAAAGGTCTGATGATTACAATAAAGGCAGTCCTAGAAATATATTTTTACGCGTGTTTTTCCTACGTTTATATTCTTTGATCGTTGTGAGAAGGACCCCAACACATCTCTTTCTTGTTTTTTTTTTCTAGTATGCGATCACTCTTGGCGTTCTGCTTGTTGCACAAATCATCGCAGTAGCAGTTCTTTTTTCCAATCCCACTAAGGTTGGTTCTCTCTCCATTCCATTTGACAGGAACCCTATTCGTCACTCCCTTGTGCTTGTAGCTAATGCAATGCAATTTGTTATTATTAATCCAACTTTAGTACGACAATAAATATGAAATAATTTTCTGAATCATTAACAATGTGAAAATATGTTTTTTTTCATTTTTAGCTATCGCAATCCTGGAACGAGGCGCTGATGCAATTACTAGCATACTATTACCGTGGCACTGCCATGGAAGAGGCTTCAATTGAGATTTGGAATTTCATTATGACGGTAAGAATTGCACACTTGTATATGGCAGCGGTAGCAGTTAAGTAAAATGATCAGTTATAGGCTAACAATAAATGCATAATTGAAATGTTGAAACATATATATGACACGTTGTTAAAAAGAAACAAAGTTTTTAATTTTTTTATTTTTTAGTTTAATGGGACATGTTGTGGCATGAACGGGGCAATGGATTTCATAGATCTCATTCCAAGTACGCCTTTCATTAGATAAATTTATTTACCTTCGTTTTCCGCTCTACAATCCATCTATAAACGCATTTGCACAGATGCATGTCCATATTTTGTGAAAAAAATCATATATTTTATCCTGGTACAAGTCAGTTATATATTTTATTAACGAGGTTTAGTGTTGGTCGACTACATCGTTAGCCTTTACAAGCTATAACTGTAGTAAGGTAGCATGATAGTTAGATTTCATTAAAGTAGAATTGACACCAATCTCAAGATTTTAAGTTCCTTCCACAACTAAGATAATTAATTGCCTATCCATAAAAACAAAAGCACATTTCCGCCCACAGAAATGGTGGAAGTAATATTTTGTTGTATTCCGAGAAAGTAACCTCCCTAATGGGTGGAATTTAAATGCCCTATGCTGTTGATAAGGTGAGAAAAAATGTGGTTTACCTCTGGAAATGCTCCTTTTTGCGACCGATTTTAGCTTTGACTAGTACAGTCCAAAGCTTCAAGATAGAATGGTGAAATCGCAGCTGATATAAAGTTCGGCCTAATATTCATGTAACATGCCAAAATATGCGTAAGTTGGCTACACTTTCGCTAAACGGCATTGAGTAGGGTTGTAATATTGATTATCATCTTGTCTATTCTGAAGTCATTTCAGTTACGATAGCATACCGGCTGCCTAACGAGCTACTTTTTCACTGCTCACAAAACGTACCTACTGCAACTAGTGGCTATTCGGGTTATATGCGTTTTTATCATTGATTTTGACTGCCCTTATAAAGTCGAATATGTTTTATAGAAAGCATGCAGGAAAAAAATATTGATTGTACTCGTTTGGTAGGTAATAACGCGTTCTTTAGATTTCTTACTTAAAGGACGTGTACCCTTAGGTTTTAAAAAAGTTTCCTTATCCACGATTTACAAACTGCACACTGTGTACATCATGTGAAGGAAAATTACATTTCCGCCTACAGCTTGAGGAAGACCTCACATAGTTCTCATAGAATATTGCAGAAGATGTGGATCATGCTTTACTCGTTATAGGCAGCGTTAATAAATTAACGGCTGTGATTCATAATGAATGCACAGCTCGCAATCGCAAATAAGCGAGATGCCCCTTATGTAAGCATACAATTTAAAAGACATACTTTCCTATCAAACGAGTACAAGAAATAATTTTTTCGTGCGTGCTTTCCATAAAATATATTTGCATTTTTTTTTTACCTTCATTTTCCCCAGAAGAGGAAGAAGAAGTGGAGGCGA